TCCTTGTTGGCATCTCAAATTATTCTGGAAAGAGAAAAAGCAATAACAGAAGGCAAGATTAAAACATCTCCATTTATTAAAATGGCAACCACACAACCTGGCCCACAAACGATAACCACGTGACTGTGTACAGAAGAGTCCAAGTAGTATCTGCCCTAGATAGCAAATCTATCCTTGCAAATGGATTCAACAAGGGGAGACAAAACAAAGCAAAAAGATCAATTAACCTAGGAACAGCAAGTGAAAATCTAATCGTTGCTACCTAAATGAGCACCAGATCTCATCAGAACTGCCCAACACCACATACACACCCACACAACACTGCTTTGCCAAAACTCCAGCAACAGACAACCAAAGCTGGAATTAAAGTATGAGCATCAACCACAGTAACACACAACATGGTTCCTACAAACAAAAACGTCCACGCTAACCAAAATGTCCAAGACACCAACAAAGAGGGAACCAAGCTACAACAAAGCTCACAGCAAATCAAAGCAGTTAATGGGATCTACCGCAAAGCTACCAGACAAAAATTACTAAGCTAACATCGGAGATCTCTGTCCAGAAGAGTGCAGTCCTGGGAACAGCTAAGATACTGCGCAGGACCCTCAAGCTCCCAGGCCTCTGGTAGAGGACCCGAGCTTGAAGGATAAACCGCCCGCAGGGGTGTGCTGGGTGTTTTTTTTTTTTAATATATATATAACAGCCAAGTACAATACTAATGCTGGTCTCTTCCATTATCAACCACATAATAACAACAACAAATCCAAACTAATGCTGTCTTGTGTAGAACTCAATAGGATATTTGTCACAATGATAAATACCACAACTACTTTAGCTGTATTCAAAACCAAGTTCAACTTAGATAAGCATTTGGCAAACCACAAGCTAAGTTAGTAGGTTAACACAAACTGGTTCAAAGTAGATGACAAGGAGGGAATTCATGCAAGAAGTTTACTTAAATATAAAATGATTTATTAACCTCAACCTAACCAAAACACAAAGCTCATCAATAGGTTGATGTCAGGTCGAGTGGAAGAGAGACTGAGCAGTTTATCTGAGCCAGTTTTTTTCTCCCATTAGGACAATGCATTTCTGGAACACAACTGAGTTTGCAGCACTCAGTTGGCCTCCATGGTCTCCTGATCTCACTCCAATAGATCATATTTGGAATGTGGCGGAACAGGATATATACATCATGGATTTTCAAACAACAAATCTGTAACAACTGTGTGATGCTATTGTGTCAACATAGGCCAAAATCTTTGAAGAATATTTCCAGCAGCTTGTTAGATTGATGCCATGAAGAATTGCAACAGGACTTACACACTTATAGTGACAAGACACAAAGCCACCTGAGAATTATTTTCAAACATCTCCAATTACGTTTGTCCTAGGAATGTGGGGTCCAAGTGATAAAATCTCATGTATTTTACTTAATGCATCACAGTTCCCAGAATTCGTTGGAAAAGAAAGCTGAGAGTACAACCAACACACCTTTCATTTAATTTTGTATCGGTTTGTGCATTGATTAATGAAATGAGATAAAGTAGTTGGTCTTAGACAAAGCTGAGCTAGGTGGTTTCCTTACTTTCTCTGGGCTTTATGCAAAATTAGTCTTGTGGCCTCCAGCCACAAGCATTATCAGTCTTTTTATAAACTCAGTCCGGAAATGATTAAGCCCTTTGGGTTGGACCAGTACTTGTTCACCCCACACATAGTGTTTTAACATTTTACAAAGAAGAAAAAAAGGTTCAACACACTAATCTGCAATATCTCATTAAAATTCCAAGCAGGCTTCCACACGAACTTCTACAACGAGTTTAGTAATTAGTTGTGGTTTAAATATTCTTTAAATTATTTCTCTCTGCCTGTAGGGGAAAGAACAATAATGCACTACCTGCTTTCCAGGCTCAGTGCATCCTTGACCTGTTTCTTCTTCTCACTACCCTGTGGTTTACCTCAGCAAACTGAATACAGGCCTATTTTTGAAGGTTTTCAGTTTGTAATGTGTTCCTATAATAGACCTAACATACAGTGTCGAGAAATGTAGTAAAACGCCCAGCAAAGAAAATCCAGTAATAGAACAATTTCTTTGAAATTTATGCGTGGTTTATTTTGCGTTATTATCAGTGACTTCATAGGAAACTATGCCAGTCTGGGGAATGATTAGCACGTAGAAGGGTTTTGGGAAATCTTTCCTAAAATAAAAGGTCCATTGTTGGGCTGTCTGCTTTGGCCCTGTATGGTAAAAAAAAAACACCTGCCCGCTTGTCTTCTAGAGATAAATGGCTTTTTTTTTTTTTCGTTTCTTTTTTTCAAATCCTGTATGTGTATGTGTACGGCCTGCAATCTGTTTTTACAGAGATACTGTGTTCTCTTTCTCTCTCTCCAGAACACTGCTCTTAATTTTGCAGCCACTGTGCAAACTTCCCTCCTGTGCATTCTACTGCCACCTGTGACCAAGTTTAACCAACAGAACAGAGATTTTTATTTTTTTAAGACACAAAAAGAAAGAGGAAGACAAACAGACTGACGCAGGGTTTGTGACGCCAAAGGGTGCGAGAAGACCTCAAAGTGCACTGGCTTGTGGTGGGAACTTCCTGCCTTGGCTGTCCTTTTGTGACGCAGTCGCTCTGTTGTTCAGTCATACCATGTGGTTTGGCAAGCAGGTATTTTGTCTAAAAACATGTGAAGCAGCTGAGTGTGTGGGATGACGGCACAAAGAAAGCAAAAACGTGGAATAAAACAACCATGCCGAATAGCAGTCTGGTCTATATTGGCCTGGAGTTGGTGATTGCTTGCCTGTCTGTGGCTGGGAATGTCCTGGTCTGCTGGTCCGTCTGCCTCAACTCCAACCTGCAGAGCATCACCAACTTCTTTGTAGTGTCACTGGCAATCGCTGATATTGCTGTGGGACTGCTGGCGATTCCCTTCGCTATCGCTATTAGGTATTGTTTCCTTCTTATTCAGTTTGGAAATGAGACAAATTTTGTGTTACCTGCATCCTTTACTACAAGATCTGTCACAATGTACTGTTGCTTTTTTTGGCAGGGTTTGTAGTGATAAACACCCTTTTTGAATCTGTGATGTTTTCAGTACTGGTTTCTGTGCAAATTTCTACGGCTGCCTGTTCATCGCTTGCTTCGTCCTCGTGCTCACTCAGAGCTCCATCTTTAGTCTGCTGGCTATTGCTGTGGACCGCTACATCGCAATCAAAAACCCACTCAGGTGAGAGAAAGTAATGAAACTTCAACTGAGATATCATACATTCCAGCTGCCGAATCATCAGCAGATGTCAAATGTTCACATGCACTGCAGTGGTGTAGCAAAGGGCATTAAATTATAGAGAGATCCTATTTTTAACTGAAGGCTAATTTGTCCAGCTGCGGACAAACATGGCTCCATCGCTCGACAGACTTAATTGAGTTAGTGTTGTTGAAGGTGAACTGGTTAAATCTACTTAAAGCTTTCATGATTAGCATTCATGTAAATCAGCAGCATTCAAATAGTATTGCTCTTTAATGGTTCATTTATTTAGAAGCTTAAAACAAAGCTCCTTGTTTCTGCAACACATCTGTTGACACACCACCAAGCCATAATCCAAAGCAGGTGAGGCATTTGCATAAGCGGTTGCATAACAGTTTGATTGTGTCTTTATGTGACACAGCCCCAGCACCTATGACCAGAGAACAACTAATCATGTAGTTATTAGGAGGCTTTATGAAGCCTAGTGCTACCAGGTTGGCCATGCAACATCTTAGTCTAAAATACACAGACAGTTAAGTCAGTGTATGCAAGGTGATGCTGGGTATACTGATAATTCATAGTGATTTTCAACTTCTATTTCCTTAATCAGGTTTCTGAATTAATTATTTTCCTGCATCAAAAGTTGTGCATATGAAGATTTCAATACAGTGCTGTGCAAAGACATGAGCAAACCCTCTTTCTTTAGATTTCCAATGTTTTTATCCATCCATTCATTTTCTACCACTTACCTGAGGCGGCGTGACAACTAATCAGAGAAGCCCAGACCTCCCTCTCCCAAGTCACCTCTTCGTGCTCAAATGGGAGTAGGAATGCCAAGATGTTCCCAAACTAGTTGAGAGATGTAATCTCCCCACCGTGTCCTGGGTCCTCCTGGGGACTTGTTTGTAATTTCTTTCAAAGTGGTCTTGAGCAATAGTTTTTCCAGGCTTTCTGGTCTTTCTTTGGACAATTGCTGCTTTTTCACTCAGTTTTCACACAGTCGTTGTACTTGACCATTTTCATAACAATTAATCATTGAAACATAGAAAACGGCACCTAACTCGGGAGCTAAACCAGTGTTCTGTCAACACATAATAGAACCAGATTTAATTTGTAGCTGTTTTAAAGATTTAAGTAATTACAGCCACCACTGGCATCCGGAAAAGTATAGCAAAGAGACTTGAGGTCCTCTTAAAATCTTCATTTACTGACTGAGTGTAGTGCTCAGCATAGACCACAGTAATTAAGGATCCACTAAGTGGTTGCACAAAACATTAGAGACTTGACCACACTGTGCATTGCTGTAAGGACAGCTATTGGTCAGTAAATCCAGATCCAAGAGGCAGATCCGAGAGAGCTAAACACTGAGCCAATAAAATCAACCCTTACTGAAGACATTTTCAGCCATATCTTTAGGCACTTTGTTACTAGCAGTCTATTGAAAAATACATAATTTATTTCCACTTCTTTAGTTGAATCTGATCTGTGAAAAATGCCAAAGGTAGCACAGACGTAAGTCAAAGGTAGAAGAAGTGGCAGGCCAAAAAACGTATTTATAGCAGATGAACAGTATCTGAAAGTCATGTCCTCAAGAAATATCAAAAAACAAAGCAAAGACCTGACACAGAACCTGAGAGATTTCTCTGGCCATTCGGTTGACCCATCTGTTGTTCACTGAAGCCTCATCCAAAATGATCTCAGTGGGAGAATGGCTGTCAAGAAACAGGGGAAAAAAGGCTGAGATATGCCAAATTACACAAGAAGGTTATTGAATGGTGAATCCAAATTGAAAGTTTTTGGTTTAAGTTGTTTTCAACATGTATGGAGGAGGTCAGGCGAGCAGTAGAACATTGAGAGTCTACAGCCATCTGTAAGAAACATAGAGGCTGTGTCATGGGTTGCACTGCATTTCAGCCAGTGGTGCTGGAGACTTTGTCAAAACTGACAGAATTACGTACAAGAGACATACCATGAGACTTTGATCCACCATGCAGTACCATCTGGAAGGCATCTGATTGGTACTAGTCTAAGTTTTCAGCATGCCAACAATCCCAAACACACTGCCAATGCAGTAAAAACATACCTGGATAGAATGCAACACTATCAAAAAAGACCCTTGAATGTCCTTCAAGAAGCCTGGAGAATTATTCCCGAAGCCTACTTCAAGAAATTACAAGAAAGTTTAACTAAGAATAAAGAATAAAGGTAATGATACCAAGTATTGACTTTCAGGCTTAATAGAATTGTACCAGTTCAAATTCTTCCTTATTTCCAGTTTTATTTTTTGACGATTGTATGTGTAGAGACATTTTAATTATGTTTTAATTACCATTTCTTTGTGACTGAAAATTTAAAATGCAGTTGAAAAATACAACATACTAAATACTAGTATTAATAATGAAATGCAGAAAGGGACTGGACTCTAAACGTGCAGGGTGAGGACTGGAAGAGGTACAGGACAGGACATAACTTTTACACTGCGTTTACAGTGCTGTGTTATCTTTCTGATTACATTTCCCTCTCTCATTCCAAATAAATGAACACCAACTATCATAAATCCCACAACTAAAACAACACAAGCTTTTTTCCCCGTGTTAAATTTAGACTTCTTCATTAAGGTTTTGTAGGTTTGGTTCTGGTGCAGAGCATTAGTAGGCAAAACCTGGCCTATGAGAACAGTTATTTTTGTAGCTGACCTCATTAGAAATACATATATAAATGTATTTGTATTTGACAACTTTATGTTCTTGAATTCAAGCTTTCTAAGCAAAATATAAAGAAATCAGCAATAGCTCCAGACTTTTGCACAGTACTTTACCTTTAAAACTAAACTATATCACTCAAATGTGACATGTTAGCATGAAAATTATTTGATATAAGCATCCACTATGTGATTTTTTTATGCTCAGATGTTCTAACTTGACCTAAATGGAAATGTCCTTTACAACAACAGCAGTTTCATTTACACTTATGTAACACAACAGGAGTGTTGTACAAAAAATTCAATGTCCTAATGAAATCAATATATTTTTTATTTTAAGAAATCATTATTTTTTTAAGGGATTTTTGAACACTTGATGAGTGCTGTCTTTAATTACCATAGCTACAAATGGGCATCAGCACTGCAGAGATAATCAGATTACTGTAAGTGCATTTTAAAGCGGGCCAATTGAAGTCCTGCTTTTGCTTATTAAATAAATAAAGTGTTAATGCTTCAGCGCACAAATCATTTTCTCTTCATTTAAACTGTATTGACTTTGCCTCAAGGGAATGCTATCACTGACAGAGAAGATAAAGCAACTGGCTGCATATATAATGCATGTTTGTGTTCTGTTCAAACTTTTAGGTACAACAGTCTGGTGACAGGGAAGAGGGCAAAGGGCATTATTGCACTGTGCTGGGTTCTTTCAGTGGGCATCGGCCTGACACCGATGTTTGGCTGGAACACAGGTGGGGAAAGATTTTTGCCAATTCCCACACATGTTTAAGTTGCATATTTAAGCATGTTTAAGTGGTCCTAACTGCTGAGGAGATTGTTGAGGAAAACTGAGCTGAGCTGAAACCCTATAATTTTGCTTTTGGATGAAACTGGCAATAAATCACAGTTTTCTTTACACAGGTTGGAACTCCACTACCACTGCCACCAAAAGCCAAGGCTGCCCTGAAGGAATGACTCATTGCTTGTTTGAGGGAGTGGTTCCCCTTGACTATATGGTCTATTTCAATTTCTTTGGCTGCGTGCTGGTGCCCTTGGTGATAATGTTGGTCATCTATATCCATATCTTCATGGCAGCTCGCCGACAGCTTCGAATGATGAGCCTCAAAGTTGCACACGTACCTGCTCCTGGACAGAAAACTCCATCTTCTGGCTCATCTCGTTCGATTCTGCAGAAGGAAGTACACGCTGCAAAATCGCTGGCTATTATCGTCGGTTTGTTTGCTCTGTGCTGGCTTCCTGTGCATATTATCAATTGCATCAACCACATTTGCCAGGATTGTGAGCGCCCACACATCTGGGTGATGAACATTGCAATCATTCTCTCCCATGCCAACTCTGTGGTGAATCCCTTTATCTACGCCTACCGCCTTCGAGAATTCAGACATACCTTTCGCAAGATTCTCTATCAGCACATCCTGGGGAAGAGGGATGGGCATGTGTTCGGGGTTGAAAGTGCTGGTGGCAGAGGTGTAAGGAGCACTAGTATCATGCAGACATCTGCCCGTACGAGTAAAGAGGATTTATCATGTGGCACAATGGTAAATAGTTATGTTCTAGATTCCGGTGCTGAGAAAACTACATCAAATGCCTCTCATGTGAGTTTAGATTCTGTACCTAACAGTAATACACCCAACGGACACCAAAAAGCAACTGGCACCCCATCAGAAGTGCAGCATCAGCCAGGTATCTTGGCATCTTCTGCACAGGAAGCAGCAACGTCCGCCACATATCTGGGAGGAGCAACAGATATTTTGGAATTGAAAGACAGAGGAAGCTGCATTACTTTTGTAAATGTTCAGGCATTGCCATTAAAACAGAATGACTGTTCCCTTTCTTCAAAAATCACAGAAATATCATGACAAAGACATTTAGTTATTTCAAATATATTGCTCTCAGAACATCAGAATGTTCTGCAAACGTGAAATTTCAGCAAATCAGCCTCGACAGCAAATCTGTTTTTTTAATGTAAAATTTTATTTTTTTAGTTTGGAGTTTCTTTTTTTAATGTGCACTTTAACGTTTAAAGATAATATACTTTTTGTAATGTGCAGGTTTTTGCTATCTGTGTTGTTTGTATGCCATCAAAATTAAATATCTTTGAATATGTCACAATTATGTGGTGTTTTTGTGCTGCAGCACTGAACTGAACTTTGTCACTCATCCAGGTTATGATACTCTGAAGAGCTTGAAATAAGAAGGAAACTAGACTTTAAGTTGTGAAGATTTGAAGAGTTTCTCTAACAAACCTGCTACATAAGAGATGGCAATAGAAGGCCTCCTTTACTCCTCATATAAACCTGGCATTATGTTTGGGAGTTTGTTCTTAGGATGGACCAGTTTTTGTCTGAGGGTGTGGCTACTCTGAAGTCTGAGGATCATCCACATACCTGTACCAGTAGCTAGGTGCTATCCCTCTGAGGAAGCCCAGAGTTTTATTAGAGGTTGGCTACAATGGGTGAGGTTGGATAGAGGTTCCTGCCCATGGCACATCTAAAAAATTTTCTGTAGAAAAACCTTGTATTTAAAATATGTGGCATCATATGTGGAGATGTCTGACAGTGTGCAGATCTGATGTGGGATGTAGCAGATTCTGTTGTGTAAGGAGCTGTAGTTGTTTTCTGACAGTCTCCACTTCCTTAGTTGTAACTCTATAAGTGGGAAGTGTGATGACATCACAGGCCTTACAACTAAAACTCTGTTTGTTTTGCTGCTGTTGTGATCAGCGATTTGATCAGTGCCGGGCAACACATGTTCACTGTTGTTCACTAACCATCCAAAACAAAGAGCTTGTTTGCCTGTACAGATATGACCCCATATGCCTGTATTGTATATGCTTTTAGAGTAAGGCTTGCTTGCATAACACTATGAAAAGGACACACATACATAGGTAAAGTACATACACAGGACCACAGACCACTCTGTAAGAAATGTTTACAGAGCAGCCTGGCACTGACGCCAGTCAATAAGCCTAATGCAATGGAAATCAAATGAAGGTTCATTTGATGGTGTCTTTTATTATCCCATAATGCTTTCCCTTCTCTCATTAAAAAGCTCTTCCACTGTGGCAAAGACCTACATTAACCAGCTTTTATGTGCCTTAAAGCAATCCCAGAGAGAGTACCCAGGAATACGGGTACATATCTAACTTGCACTGTGTTTATTCAAAAACTTAAATGTATGCGTTTATTACACATTGTAATCATGCAAGAGGGGAATTAAAATGGGTGAAACCATTTCATTTTAATGTTTTTTTTGTTGTTGCATGTTATGATATTTTGATAAGCATGAGAAGGGTTATCAAAATGATTTGGTTATGGATATTACATACCTGAGTCATAAAAAATAAAAAAGATAAGGGACCATTGTGGTATGATGACCTGGAGGAAAACAATCCAGTGTGTACATTTATAGTGTGTCATGCTGCCATAAATTACACATGTGTGACACCAGCATGCAAAATGATTAAGCTATCTTTTAAGAAATGCAAATGATCAGAAACTCAGTAACAAAAGATTTATTGCAGCAGAGACCACAGTGTTTATTTAAAGAGTCATACTCTGTGCATTCCCGCTCTGGCTGATGATTTCAGTCAGCCTCATAAATTACCCGCCTCCACCAATGCACCGCATAACCATTACAAGTGCTCCATCCTTTGTTCTACCCCTCACAAATGTTCTTCTTTTTAAATGCCTCAAACTTAAATTTGTTAGTACATGTGATTCTTCTTACCCCGTGGGTTTTTTGTTGTTGTTCTTATTGTTGTTGTTTTTTCTTCAAATCTTAGTTCTTCTGGTGTGACTTTGCAACCTGGCTAAATGGGTTACCCTCCTTACTGTTAATGTTGAAACTTGTGTTTTGGTGATTCTTAAAAGTTACCAGAGAATCTGAGAACAAATTATTTCTCAAGCTGGAGACTGCTGAATCTATCCAACTGCTCAGTTGTGCACCCGGGCCTGTACCAGGGAGCTACTGTGATGCTGTTCTGCGAAGTGAATGGTAGGTGTAAAAGTGTAATTTCGGGAGGGAATTTCCCACATACGACAGCCTTTGCTACTAACAATAGTATGATTAATTTAAAAATGTTATTTTTAGAGGAGCAGAAAAAGCACAGACCCACAGATGCTCAAGCTCCGGATTCTCAGCAATGCAACTTTATTTTTATTTATAGTCAGCTCAACAGCTATTTTAACATAATTAAAGATTTGTTTGGTCATTGGTTTGCCTAGATCTTGATTCATAGACAGCTGATGAGAGACAGATAAGAATGTCTGCTCATTCTTTATTCTTTATTCAGATTCCCACTAGTTGTCCCTTGGGTCTAAAGATAAAACAATACAAAACATCCAGCCATCAAGAGACAATCAATCAATAGATTGGAAAAAAAATAACCTATCAAATAAAAAGAGAGTAGTTCCTGCAACTTATATGACAAACAATGACATAATATGGAATAATAAAAAAAAATACAATAAATGGCATGTATAAAAGTGCTACTGATGATCATTTGATGTATCATTTTTTTCGCCAATCGGTGTATCCAAATTTCTTGTGAACCCGTAAAGCCATAAAAATACACATCCCACAATGCACTGCAGAGCATCGTAGGAAGCATTCGATTGACCCGCCGGTGGATTGTGGGAAAGCGGAAAAAGGGCTCAAAAGGTAGGGAACCGCGTCTGGCGCACGTTGCAACGTCAAAAGAAGAAGCAATAACAAAGAAACTAAGCTTTTACGATAGACTCCAGGTAAGAAACAACAATACTTGTAATTCAACTGAGACCGTAATTTTTTTCCGTGCTCATTAGCAGCGTTGTTTGTTTCTTGGGCGTTTGAATCAAGCGCGTTCATTCAGGAGCCAATATGGCCTCGTCTATTTGCCGAACTAATAACTTGTTACTGCAATAAAGAGGCAAACGTTAATGTTGAAATCGTATTTGTATCATTTTAAGTTTGGTTTGTTACACATGGCATTAATTGGATTACATTATTGTATGCAACCAGGATATATTATTGTACATTAGCCTAGCTCGCTAATGAAGGCTAATTCCTCTCGCAGCTTCGATATTCAATGATTTGACTGAGCGATTCGCTTTATTGATCAGAAGTTAACTGTAGCCTGCTTATCCCATCTTAACGAGGGTTACTGATTGTTATATATTAACTCCCAGCAACTCTTTAAACAGTATAAGAGAGCTGATTGTCGTTACATAGGCAGTACTCGAGTGAAAAATAAATTGGCGAGGATAATGTGTGGACAAGTGAAATGGTTCCTGATTGCTTCTGTGGTGTTTCTGTAACTAAACGCATCCCAAAATTAACAAGCCAGTTAACTGTAACCAAACTTTATGGCTAAATATAATTTTGAGTTTGATGGTAAAAAAAGAAAAGAAAATGCGTTTGCAGGAGCTTACAGCCTATCAATGTGCACAGTGTAACGTTTCTTCTGCTAAATTTTGTTTTCCAGAAACATTCTTGAAAAATGTCCATCGGCGTTCCAATCAAGGTCCTGCATGAGGCAGAAGGACACATTGTGACCTGTGAGACCAACACTGGAGAGGTTTACAGAGGCAAGCTGATTGAAGCAGAGGACAACATGAACTGCCAGGTCAGTACATGATAAAGAGTGTAAAGTGAATGTGGATGGTGTTCCTCCTTACAGGGGTCCCATCAACCAAACTGTTGGTACTGTATTGTTTTTATGATTTTTTTTTTTTTTTTTTCTGCCTTCATTAGAGTAATCAACAGTTTAGTCTTTAATAGGCTGCTTCATAATTTGAACAAGTTTTGTTTACTTTGTTTTCAGGTGCATTCCCATAAATTGCTTAATATCTTGTGTGGCAACACAGAAAAGCTTAATGAGGCTAAAAGGAATTTTCATTACAAATAATAGTGTCTTTGTTCTGTGTCTCTCTGTTTTACCTTTTGATAAATGTAAAAGGACATCTGAATGTTCAGGTTCAATTTGTGGTGTTTTTATTTTAATTAGAAGATTTATTTCTGGGTTTTTTTTTTGTTTATTTTTATTTCCCCCCCATAGTTGTTTAAAGGTTTCCAAGCTTTCCACCTGTTGGTGTCAAAAAGAGTGAATTGTGCTAATCAAGTATTGGAGACCTAGATCTGGTAGCTGCATTAGTAAAAGCCAGTTAATTAAAAATTGGTCCTGGATCAGATGGTAAAAAACTGGTCCTTTTATGGCTTTGTAAAGTTTAGATAACTACTATTGATTTGAATAAAACACTAAAGAGCAGTTTGATTACATTTGTTGAAAGAATGATCTTTGTTTCTTACAGATGTCTAATATCACAGTGACTTATCGGGATGGCCGCGTGGCACAGCTGGAGCAAGTTTACATCCGTGGCAGCAAAATCCGCTTTCTGATTTTACCCGATATGTTAAAAAATGCTCCTATGCTGAAGAGTATGAAGAACAAGAACCAGGGATCTGGTGCAGGAAGGGGCAAGGCAGCTATTCTTAAAGCACAAGGTGGGTGAAAATTTGCAGTAGATTGATACACCTGTCAGTATGTTCAGTAGTGGGCACAACTGATGGTGATTTTAAACTCATTGCATGCATTGATTGCCTTTTTGTGTTTGTGCAGCATAACTAAATCCTACCATGAGAAAAGTGCTTTCTGTCCAGTGTTGCTCTGTTCCTTGTGTAATAAGTACAGTCTTGTCATAGGTGTGGTGGATCTGTCAAAAACACTGACTTAAATGTTTCATTGTTGTTCAATTTGTGTCTTCACATCCCCTTTAAGATAGAACTGATATTTTGCCAAGCGGGTGTTAAGGATACAAAATTAGACTTCACTGTACTTCTCGCAACCAAAGTACTGAATGTATTATTAAAGTTACTGAACAGTTGGTGTATTTCTGGTTCAGTGAGGTACTCTACGTTTAAAAACTGATAGTATGCCATCTTTGTTTTTTGTGCTCTCCAGTGGCTGCAAGAGGACGAGGGCGTGGTGGAATGGGAAGGGGAAACATCTTCCAGAAGAGGCGATAATTGCTCCAGCTACATTAACATTTTTGCATTGTATAGTTTTTGTTTTCCCTTTGAATTTGATACGTTGGATATCATTTGAAATCTCGTACTTTGCAGTCTGTTGCTTTAATTTCTTTTTCTTTTATTAAAATAAAAGTTTTTCAATTTGATGTGTCCTGATGTTTTTGTTCTGTTTTTCTTTTCCCACTTACAAGAGATTCACTTGTGCCACCAGTCTTATTTCAAACATATTTAATAAGGAATGTACTAGGAATGCGGTGTTTAGCCTTATCCAAGTAGTTTCAGTGTTAACCCTGGGTTTTCTGTACTATAAAAGGTTACCTGAGTATATTGCCATGTTGCCTTCTGCTGTGGACCAGATAAAATTAGGCATAGAATAACCACATACTAACCAATCAATTCTTTGGAAATTAATTTTACTACTCCCAGAGGAGTCCTTGGCCCTCTGCAGATGGAAGCATTTAAAGGATTTCAGCACCATACAGTTTTTTTATTTTTTTTTAATTTTTTTTTCCCCATAGTAGGCATCAGTAGTAAGTACGGCATTGATTCTTAAATGCTACAACTTTATTGCTCTTTGAGCATTAATATAGAACCATTAAACAGGATGGCTGTACTGTAGTTGCTAACCTTGCATAAAATGTGCATGTAGCCTAAGCCTACATATGAATGTTGTCTTTTATCTTTGCTTACTCTGCAGCTAAAAATGACAAAGTAAAACCCTTTTAAACATTAATGAAATACTCAATTATAATCCATGAGATTCTCCCCTGTTTCGATACTAGAAATGTGATATTCAAAAGTCTGTTAACTCGCATATCATTTTCAAGTGTTGTTAACCAAAACACTCAAAGTGCTCACACATTTATGCAGAGCCTTTAATACTTAACTACTGTATAGCGCTTCTTGTTTCAGAAACTGACTGCTGATTCCAGTCTGCATTCTGTGTTTAATATCTTACTTAATTTTTTTTTTTAGTTTTATCTTCCTTCATCTCTTTCATATGAATGGGCAGAACCCTGGATTACCTGACACCAGCTTTGTGTTAGAGGGATTGTGTATCACTCACTTTTTTGATGCGTAAGTGTACCCTTTAAAAAAACAAACAAACCCACAATGTTTTGGATTGTAAATTAACTAGTTAGATTATGACCATGAATCATCATTCAGGATTTCAAAGTCTGAAATTTGCAACAAAATTTACTTTTTTTCCCCCTAGTTTTCCTGAATTGTTTTAAATTAATGCAAAAATCTAGAGAGCATTTTATACTAAATGCAGAGCAAGCAAGATCTGTTACAATAATATACAGTATGTATTGTGGAGACAGTGCAGGAAGCTCAATGATTTAAAGATAATGGCTATCAGATGCAAAACCACATAGACACAAAGGACGTGTAATGAGAGTGGCTTGGCTGTAGTGTCCTGGTAGCCATCACAGCCATCCTAAATATAATAGTCTTATTATGTTAGACCTCTAAATAAAATGTGCCCATCATTAAAGAGCCAAGGCCAGTTTATTTTACTAGGTCCAACTCTCCAGTACACCACAAGATGGTGCCACTAGGTCATAAAGCATTTGAGGCAGAAACGACCAGGAACCATGAATGTTATATTTAGAACTCGTGAAATAAAAGAAGGCAAAAGGGCATCGTAGCCTTCAGCGGAAGTAGCTTAGGTTGTTTGTTAGCATATAAAAGCGTTGCGTTAAATGCCTGCAGTTAACATTTCCTCCATGTGAAGCACGGGACCTGCGTGCTCAGCTGGATTGGTCCGTCAAAACATCGGTTATCAGTCTGTTACAGTCTCCGTTTCTCAAACAGCTAGCTAGCTGTCGCAGGGCAGAAGCTATTCACACAGCAGACGAGGAAGAGAGGGAATCTTACATTTCTCACTTGTAGGCCTAAATAACACGCCAAGGTAAGGTTTTTGTTTGTTAAATCACACAGTATATATACAATTTTCTTTTTTCTTTTTTTAAATGATTGCTTCCTGCATCTTTGCCAGCGGCTGTAGCATGAACGTTACTGGGACGTACTAGCATCACTGACTCCTTCATCCACAACATCTGTATCTTGCCAGATGAGGCAGCTGCTAACGTTAGCTGAGCTGGTTGGCTTAGAAGCTCAGAGCTAAGTTAGCTTAGACTTGAGACGGCGGTGACTTTGTGAACGCCCAAACAACACCGGAGCAGCTTAAGCGCTTTGACATTTACAGTCGATGTAGCAGCTCTTATCTGTGGGTGTAAGTAACACGAAATCCGGTGGTGCCAGTTGCATTGTGTTATTGTTTATCGGTTATCTCAAAGATTGTTTGTGTGTTTGTGAAATTGCAGAGACAACGAGTCTCGGTTTAGTCTCAAATCTTCATGTTGGGCTCTGGTAACATCTAATGCTTTTGGGAAGTTGCGCTGACATATTCTTGAGGAGAGAAAGCCTCTGATGGCACACAGAGTCCCCGATGTTATTTATTTTAGTTATCATTATGTTATTTTTTGTTTTGGAAAACCATTTGAAGTATATATATTTGACACATTTAACTCCTGGCGTCACTCTACAAGAATAAATTGAACTTTAACTTTGATATAGTAGGTTTAGTGGTTATTTTATAAGGTTAGCCTTAACCTTTCAGTAAATACAGGGTAGAAATGTTTAGAAACACATTTAATGTGTTGGACCTTCATTCTGGAAAATGTCCTTTAAATTTACTTGTACCATATTATTTTATAATAATAATAATAATAATAATAATAATAATAATAATAATAATAATAATAATAATTACACGAGGCGCGGTCTTGGCACAGTTCGTGCAAAAAGCAACTTATGTTTTGAAGCCTGGTAACAGAACTAGTACAATATGTGTACAAATTAAGTTTGTCCAATAGAGAGGTGAAGAGA